ACTCTGCCACTGAGCTACATTCCTAGCCCCAACCTAGCTAATATGCAGCTTCATTGCCAATTACAGCTTAAATCTCCTCTCTAGTGTACCTCCTGTATGACTTATTGAGATACCCAATCATAGACATACCTCCACTTCCTGTCCAGATCAAATGGAATCCCTTCTTCCTTAAACCCTCACCTGGTCTGGGTGCAGGCCAGGTAGTGTGCAATCGCAGCTACTCAGGAGGCTAAAACAGGTGGATCACTTGAGCCCAGAGATTCAGGATTAGCCTGGGCAACATATCAAGAACCCATCTCTCAATGAACAAAAAGGAAAACACAGTGACCAGGATGTTATTAACACAGTGGTAGCTAGGGCTCTTTGGCTGGAGGCTTTGGCAGCACTTACAGAGTTGGCTACAAGTTCAAGGACTCATTGGAACCCCATTTATGGATACTTCTGGTCCACAGACTCATTTAAATAGCCTCAAGCCCAGAGCATCAGTAAACAGATGGAGAAACTGAGGTTTAGACAGATGGACTTCTTCAGAGTCCCACTGTGAGCTAGTTGCTGGGTGGGAATTGGAAACTGGCCACTGACTCCAACGTGAGATACTTCCAGCAGATACAGGTCCCATTCCCAAGCCCATCCTGACCAAGACAGTGTCCTCCCTGCACCAGCCACAGAACTGCCCAGCAGGACGTGCACATGCTCATCTTTCAAGTATGGCTTCATTCTCTCCCAGCTTTCTTCCTGTAGAATCAGGCAATAAGATCCCAGATGGAGGTGAGAGGTTAAGAGAATCCTCACACGGGGATGACCCCTTAAGGAGGCTCAGGCTGTGAAGTCTCAGCTCAAAGGAGCTTCATCTTCCCTGTCCAGCAGCTCTGTGTCTTGAAGCCTACACCTTCACAGACACTGTAGCCAGGAGCAGACCTCGATTCCTTTCCTTGGTTTCCTTCTTATACCTCCCTGCTTTGTCTTTGCCATGCTCTGTACCTGGAAGCCCTCCCTTCCTTTCTCATCTTGGAGATGGTGCCATGTTCCTTCAAGCTCTGTTTCAATTCTGAATTGGAAGAAACTTCCCACCTCCTGCCTCTGGGGTTCCCTCGCCCTGACCAGGCCCTTTCTTCATAAGCCTTTTTTCCCAGTAGTGCGCAGTTGTCTCCCTAGGCCACCCCACTGCAGGAAGTGCATTGCACTCAGCTTCTATGTGATGCTTGGTCAATTTACTATAGGACTTCATCAGCCAGCCCAATAGCAGGGCCGAGGACCGGGTGGGTGCTATTGGCATCTCCCTGCCTGAAGAGCACAGGGTTGTGACACAACTGTCTGGCTTTGGGAGGAACCCTGAGGCCCCTTCTCACCCTGCAGCTCCATTCCCTAGGCTTCCTGCCTCACCCCACCTGCAGTCTGCTTCCCCCTTTCTTTCAGAGCTACCTGGGATTTCCCCAGAGCACTTAGCACCCCAGGACCTCCCAGTACAACATCTTCTGCCTCAAGTTCCTCTGGCACCCCGAGACCTGCCTGCACTAGCTGTCAAGGCTGAGGGCTTTTCTTGACCAGGCATGAAACCTGGAAGCCTGGCAGCATTGGGCAGGAGGCTGGGTCACTGAGCCCTGTTCCCTGCCAGGGTGTTATTCCTGGGACACATTCTCAACTATTCTAGCTCTCTCTCTCTGTGAAAGAGAGCTTCCTCTGAGCAGGGTGTGGTAGTGCACACCTATAAACCTGGTGGCTGGGGAGGTAGAGGCAGGAGGATCACAAGTTCAAAACCAGCCTCAGCAACTGTGAGGTGCTAAGCAACTCAGTGAGACCCTGTCTCTAAATCAAATAAAAAATAGAGCTGGGGATGTGGCTCAGTGGTCATGTGCCCCTGAGTTCAATCCCTGATACTCAAAAAAAAAAAAAAAAAAAAAAAGAAAGAAAGAGAGAGAGAGAGAAAGAGCTTCCTCTGATGGATCCAACAGTGTTCCTAAGGGAGGCCTAGGGTAGTTTCTTAAAATCCAAATTCAGCTATTCTCAGGATAATTCAGAAGGGGCTGCCCTCTAAGAAATTCTTAGAGCCCCAGCTAGGAGAGGCCTTGACTTTATGGTTCTGTTCCTTTGGGGGATATGGCTGGGTATTCTGTGAGCCCCCAAGCCCTGTGGAACCAGGTACATTGGGATGCACATGTCTGATGCTCCTGACCACATGATTTCATCTGCATACCCACTTGTCCATCTATCCATCTATCTTTTTTAAATTAATTTTTACTTATAGGTGGACAGATATCTTTATTTTATTTTTTTTATGTGGTGCTGAGGATTGAACCCAGGGCCTTGCACATGCTAGGTGAGCACTCTACGTCTGAGCCATAATCCCAGCCCCTGTCCATCCATCTTTGAGTTGGTTCCTATGAATGGCCTCTTTCTTGAGGTTTAAGGTCTTTTTGTTTCTTTGAGTTGTAGGCTGCAGTTTGGCACATATGTATCCTTGGAATCTGGAATGAGAACCTGATGGCCACCTTGAGCCTCTGGCTACACTCTCTAGGTGCTGCCTGTTTCGCTCAAAACTCATCCATGCCCCTCAGAGTCAGGGATTAAAGGCCCCTACTCAGCTTCCCACTCAACTTATGCCTCAGCCCTCTATCCATCCCATGCTTCAACTCTACTTGTTCACTTTTTTAAAAAACTTATTTTTTAATACCTATTTTTTAGTTGTAGGTGGACATATATCTTTATTTTATATTCATGTGGTGCCAAGGATCGAACTCAGTGCCTCATGCATGCTGGGCGAGCACTCTACCACTGAGCCACAACCCCAGCCCCCTACTCGTTCTCTTTTACACATCCCAAGGTTTACACATACTGTGCCCACTTCCAGGAATGTCCTTCCTCCTTTTGTCTCCTAGAAAACACTGACATATCTGTCAGCACTCAGTTAAAATGTCAATGTCATAATCAAATGGTTCTTGGGATGCCCACAGCATTGATCACAGAATCATGCTGAGAGATATATGTGTGGATATCTCTCCTGCTAGACTGGGAGGGCTTCAAGGGCAGGGGATGAATAGTGCTCACATCTGTGCTTCCAGTGTGCACAGAAGGCTGGATCTCTAGCAGTCATTAGGAATGTGGGTACACAGATAGGTGGTCAGACAGATGAATGGAAAGGTGGGTAATGGGTGAATGATAGGTGGATAAATGGGTACAAGGCTAGGAGAGTAGTTGAGTAGATGCACTGTGGCTGGATAGAAAAGCAGGTTAATGATTGATGATGCTTTTTTTTTTTTTTGGTACTGGAGATTGAACCCAGGGGCACTTAACCATTGAGCCACATCCCCAACACTTTTTATATTTTATTTAGGGACAGGGTCTCACTGAGTTGCCTCACTAAATTGCTGAGGCTGGTTTCAAATTTGCAACCCTCCTTCCTCAGCCTCCCCAGTTGCTGGGATTACAGGCATGCACCACTGCACCCAGCAGGTTGATGATTATTCTAATGATCTAACTTGACCCATTTATTTCCTGGTCCTTCCCTCTGACCCTCTTACACACAATTCATCTTAAATTAATCCATAAGAGTAGACCTCCCTCTTTAAAAAAATGAGTGGTAGATGCTTGGAGTTGAGGATGTAACTCTGTGGTACAGTGCTTGCCTAGCATGCATGAAGCACTGGATTCAATGCCCAGCATCACCAAAAGAAAAAAAATTCATGCTTGATGAATACATACCTACACAACAGCTTTGAAACAGAGCTGAACTGATAGGATGACAGGGGACAGACAGATCCCTCAGAGAAAGAGGACAACAGAGCCAGAAGCTCAGATGTGCCTGGGAGGGCCATCTGCTCTACATGGAGACATGAACTGGAAAGGGGGTTGCTCTCACCTCCCAGGCTGCCTTTGAGCTGCTAGATTTATTGAGTACTTGGAAGTCTCCCCAGAGATCTCCTGTCCTTTTGCCACACTGCACTGAAGTCCACCAGAAGATTCCACTAATTCCATTGAGGCTTTGCCTTTTCCAGACAGCCTCTGTCACAAACATGTTTTAACATTTCTGGGAGCCACTGACATTTTAATATAAATTACCTTGCTTGACAAAGTGGCATGTGCCTATAATCCCAGTGATTTAGGAGACTGAGGCAGGAGGATCACAAGTTCAAGGTAGCCTAGGCAATTTAGCAAGATCCTATCTCAAAATAAAAAATAAAAAAAGGCTGGGCATGTAGCTCAGTGGTAGAACACTTCTGAGTTTAATCTCCAGATATATAATCTCTTTTCCATCTGTAATGGGTGGCAGAATTTTGAGTAGTTAAGAGAGAAGGGGCAACTTCTTTGGGGCATAAAACTGGGGACCTCCAGATAGTGGGTAGAGAGGAAATAGGTCTGCTGGTGTTTTTACTGAAGGATTGAACTCAGGGGCACTTAACCACTGAGCCACATCCCCAGCCCAATTTTGTATTTTATTTAGAGACAGGGTCTCACTGAGTTGCTTAGCACCTCGCTTTTGCAGAGGCTGGCTTTGAACTCTTGATCCTCCTGCTTCAGCCTCCTGAGCTGCTGGGATTACACATGTATGCTGCTGCGCCCGGCTCCATTTTCTTTTGATGACACACCTCACTCTGCTCACTGTATGTGGTTCTTGTGGATTTGGAATACCCCCAACCTCCCATTCAAAGCTCTAGACATGAACTCATGATTAGTCTGGCCAATCACAGTAATTTGTCATCTTGACTACAGAATTAGGAATGTGCATGGGACCCAAGCCAGGCTACATGACCTACAGCTGGAACTGAAGGTAATGAAACTTCTCCATGATTGGGTCTCCTAGCTGTTAAGGGGTAGGTGAGGCAGCCTCTACTGGGAGAGTTGAGGGCCAAGCTGTCAAAGGCAAAACAAATCCCCCTTTGCAGAGACAGGTGGAGTGCTTGGACAAGGTGTGCACACCCAGAGCTTGGCCCCAGACCTTGTACATTACTTGGTGTTTTAGTCTGCTTTGTGTCACTATGACCAAAATACCTGACCAGAACAACTTAGAAGACAAAAAGTTTATTTGGGGCTCACAGTTTTAGAGGTTCAATCCATGGTAGGCCAAGTCCATTGCTTTGGGCACAAGATGAAATAGAGCATCATGGGGGACAGGCCTGGGGGTTTCATGGGGCAGGAAGCTGCTCATCTTACACCAGGGTCAGGAAGGGGCCCCCAGAAGAACAACCCTTTCTGGGCATGCCCCCAGTGACCTACCTCCTTTAGCCACATCCCACCTGCTTTTTAAAAAAAAAATATTTTTTTTAGTTGCCAAGAGATCTTTTATTTTATTTATTTACATGTGGTGCTGAGGGTTGAACCCAGGGCCTCATACATGCCAGGCAAGTGCTCTACCACTAAGCCACAATTCCAGACCACATCCCACCTGCTTTACAGTTACCACCCAGGCAGTCCATTCAAACTAGGATGGACTGATTAGGTTATACCAGTCACAATCTGATCGCTTTACCTGAGAACATTCCTGCAGGGACACAGGAGCTTTTGGGGGACACCTCATACCTAAACTATATATATGTATACACATATACATATATACATATACCAGGTAATTTCCTTCTACCTTAAGGTGGCTTGACTTGTCTTTCTGCCACTTAAAACCCAAACATTCTTGGAGAATACATCTGCCTTCCTGCCATCTCAGCCCAGGTGAGGGTCATCTTCCCATTTCAGAGATTAGTCCTCTGGGGTAAGTGCATGCCAATGCCACAGACAGGAGTCAGGAATGGAAGGAATGCCCTCAGGCCACTGAATCCGCCCTCCCTGGTCCCCACAAGTTCCCAGGCAGGCCTCAGGAGTGGCCGGGATCCAAACCTCCTCTTCACTGGCCCAGAAACTTGGGCATGCAGGCTCTCTGCTGCTCCACCTGCTGGGTAACTTCCCACGCTGTGCAGGGGAGTTTGTTTTCCCTTATTGTCTGATGGACTTTGTCTCCAAGAGCAGCGCCTGGGCTGGGAAACTTCAGCTTCCAGCTGTTAGGCTTGTGCAGACCATCTGTTCTTTTCCCCAAAAGGTGGTTGCAAATGTCCTCAGCAATTCACAGCTCCAGAGTGCCCTTTATGCAGATACAGAAACGAAGGGCACCTAAGAGCCAATTTTTAACCCCAGGGCACCCCACAGTTACCTATTGGGAATTCACCTCCCCATTTATTCCTTCCTCTTTGATTCCCGGATGGGCCCTAGGAATCCCCAGAGGGCAGCATGGGGGTTCCACAGAGAGCAAGCCAGGCATATCCTCCCTGGCCAGGGGTCTGACCTACCTCATCCATCACCCAGGACAACTTGTTGTGTGTCTTATCCAAGAATGGAGGAGCTGGGTCCTGCTAGGCAAGCATCTGGAAGAGGTTCTGAGGTGGGAGTTTAGAGACCTCAAGATGGCGGAGACAGGATACAAGAAAAATGCCGTCTGGAATACAAGACCAGGATATGACTCATCAAGTCCCTGTTTACCATAAGTCCCATTACCATGACAACTCCCGCCACTGAGGGACTATGCTCATGGCAACTCCCCCCACAGGCTCTGTATTCTAATTAGGCAAAAATAAAGTATTCAGTGTGAACAATTGGGGCACGATCTTCTATCAGGTTCATACAGAGTGGGTAATGAGGCACAGCTCAGCATATAAGACAAGAGTTGCCCAAACATCAGGACCTTGGGTCACTCTCTCGCTGGATGCACTCAGCTCTGCTTTACGGGGTGTTATTTTCACTCTCAATAAATCTATGCTCTGCCTGTTACTTCTGTGTGTCGGTTTCTCTCTCTCTCTCTCTCTCTCTCTCTCTCTCTCTCTTTCTACTGGGGATTGAAACCAAGGGTGCTTAACCACTGAGCCACATCCCTAGCCCTTTTTTAAAAGACTTTTTTATAGATATACGTATATTTTCAGTTGTAGATGGACACAATACCCTTATTTATTTATTTAATGTGGTGCTGAGGATTGAACCCAGTGCCTCACATGTGCATGGCAAGTACTCTACCACTGAGCCACAATCCCAGCCCTCCCCAGCCCTTGTTATTTTTTATTTTGAGACAGGGTCTCACTGAGTTGCTTAGGGCCTTGCTAATTGCTGAGGCTAGCTTTCAATCTGCAATCCTCAGCCTCCTGAGTTGCTGGGAATAAGGCATGTACCACCACACCTGGCTGTCTTTCTCAATTCTTTTTTTCAGCATGCCAAGAACCTGGACTCCAACTGGTCCCCCCACCAGTATCAGTTCTAAGCAGCCTTTCAAAAATATCTGCCATGCTGCTATGTTGGTGCATGCCTATAATGCCAGTGTCTTGGGAGGCTGAGGCAGGAGTATCACAAGTCAACCTCAGCAACTTAGTGAGATCCTTTCTCCAAAAAATAAAATAAAGACTGGGGATTTAGCTCATACCCAGTTGCAATTACATCACCTCACTTGACATAACCAATGGACAATCCCAAGTATAAAAACCACAACAACAAAACTGCCACTATGCTAGGTGCAATGGTGTGCACTTGTAGTCACAGTTATTCGGGGGCTGGGAAACTGAGGTGAGAGGATTGCTTAAGCTCTGGATTTCTGGACCAACCTGGACAATATAGCAAGATTCCAGCTCAAAACAAAATAAAAACAAAAGTACTACTGGAAGTTCTGTAAAACCAACAGATCCAATGACTAGCCGCTGATATAATATTGAGTGCTTACTCTGTACTGGGCGATCTGAAGTGCTTCAGGTCAGTTATGTCATTTATCTTCTCCAGATCAGGAACCATAATTGTCTGCATATTATCGATAAGGAAGCTGAGGCTCTGCAGTTGAAATAACCTGCCTGAGAACAAAGGCCTTCCCACAGGTGTCTCCAGAATAGCAATCCAGGATGACAATGCGGGTATTTCAACACTGCCTCAGGCCAGGATGGCCTGGGGGTTGGGAGATGGCTGAATCTTGGGTGTGAATCAGGACACAGCACAGAGGGTAGATACCTACAGGGAGACCTTCACCACAAAAGGTCATTCCACATCTGCATGGTAGAGGTGTGTCACAGTTCCCCAGTTACACACCCTGGACAAAACACAGCCCCCTCCCTCCAGGATCACAGCAGAGCCCTGAAAAGCCTGAGTTTATCTCTGTCTCCCAATCCTAGTCCCTAAGGGTCACTTTAACTAAGATTCTCTCCTCCCCATTTGGTGATTTCATTTGTATTATAAACTGGTAGATGCAGGGAAAGGATTCTTTCCAAAATTGTAACATCATAACTCATGCAAATATAAAGTGAACACATGTAAGGAGCATCTGCTATAGACATGCTGGGACATGCTGGAACTCACTAAGTTGCTGGCCATAAGGAACAGTAGCCATTGAACTGCTTAGTCACCTCTGCTTACAATTGATAAAGAGTTGCAAGAGGTATTAGCCATAGGCATGCTTAGCAAAGGACATACCTAATTGCAATTATATCACCTCACTTGACATAACCAATGGACATTGACTTTCACTGGGTGTAACCAATCACCAACGTACAAGATCAACTTGGAACTATATTCAAATTGCTGGTCCTGCTACATTGAAGAGTTTTTGCTCCAAGGATATTGGTGAGACTGCCCGCCTTGCTGTCTATCCCTGGACTGACTCACCATTCCCTGACATCCAGCCATCAGCTGGAGAGAACCACCAGACAGGGACAATGTCTGCTATTTGGCTAAGAAAAGTCGTGTGGCATTGGAGGTATTTTGGGGCTCATGGTTGCCCTAGGATTGTGTGATTTGCTTACAGTGTTTAATTAGTGTGTACCAAATACTAGTTGGGGTGCTCCAGCACACCCAACACTTTTTGCATTAATTGTTTATATTTGATGATTGGTGTGATCGAATATACACTTGCATTTAAAGACAACCTGCCTCCGAGTAATTATTTATAGTGCCACTCAAAATAACACGCATCAAAGATTTTATTTAGCTGAGGATGTGGCTCAGTGGTAGAGCACTGGCATAGTATTCATGAGGCCCTGGGTCCCTTCTCAGCACCAAAAATACACAAAACGAAACAAAATGTTTTTATTTTGGTCATTTATTAATAAGGGAACTGGTAAAATGGTATAATTAGATCATTTATTAATGAGGGAACTGGTAAGATGTTATAATAGGTTCAAAGGAGAATCTAAAAAACAGACATACAGATTAGGTGTGGTGGCATATCTTTGTAATCCCAATGACTCCAGGAGGCTGAGGCAGGAGGATCACAATTTTTAGGTAAACCTCAGCAAATAATAGTAATATCAACAATAACAACCGACATACAGGCCTCTAGATAGAGCAAATAAATTTGGCATATATTTGGAACCATCTTTGTCTATAGGGTAGAAATCAGTTATATCTCTATATGAAAAAGTTCATTTGCATTTCACACTTCCCCCTTCCCCGATTGAACCCAGGGGCACTCAACCACTGAATCACATTCTCAGCCCCTCTTTATATTTTATTTAGACACAGAGTCTCAATAAGTTGCTTAGGACCTTGCTACTTTGCTGAGTCTGGCTTTGAACTTGCGATCCTCCTGCCTCAGCCTCCAGAGCCAGTGGGATTACAGGCGTGTACCACCATGGTTGGCTGTTTCACACTCTTTTTTGTTTGAGACATGGTTTCCTATGTTGCCCAGCCTGCATCCTGAAACACCTGGGCTCAAGCCTCAGGGAGTAGCTGGCCTACCACACCCTGCTTCATTTGCATTTTTGTGTATGGCAATCTTGAGTCTTGCACAGGGTAATTTCTGTCTTACAGTTTGAAAATGGCCTAACCTGTAGAGCATGGTGGCACACACCTATAATTCCAGGAACTTGAGAGCCTTGAGGCAAGTTCAAAGCCAGCCTCAGCAACTTAGCAAGACCCTGTCTCAAAATAATAATAATAATAAGAAGAAAAAGAGCTGGGCATGTTGTGGCTAAGTGGTTTAACACCCCTAGGTTCAAGATACATCACCGGAGTGGGAAAAAAAAAAGGCCTAGCAGAAGATAAGGGGCTGTAGAAAGAATCAGATAAGTCTTAAGGGTTTGCTACACTGCGTCCTACATTCCATTGCAAAGAGCACCTGGGGAATTGTTTTGTGCATTGAAAAGCTTTTTTACATTTTTTCCTAATTGTGCATGCAGCTCACAAGATAATGGCTGAGCATTTTTCTATCTCCAGAGATATCGATGGGGTGAGGCCTGCCCAGCCCTCAGGCTATATCCACTTTCTGCCACTTCTCCAGATTTTCTTTGCTTTTAAAGACCTGGTCGCTGAGGGGCGCCACCAACTCAAGTGGGAATTTTAGAAAAGAATGCCCTTCTTTTTGATGGACACAGCACCAAGCTAGGACATGAGGATGCTAGAGCCTAGGCTGTTTCTGTCCAGGCTGTTCCTCTTTGTCCAGGTGTCCTTTGTCAGGGCACAGCCTGCACAATGGACGGTGGCCTGCTGCTGCCTGATATTCTACAGTCAGTATTTTGAGCTCTTGAAGGATCTAGAAGAAAGCCTTTGGCTTGGGTTTGAGGTGGGAGTACAGGGAGGTCTTGCGCACTGTACCTTATTGCTTTCAGGGGTGAAGCTAGGTAGGGCTTGGGTGCTAAAACCAGAAGGGGACATCCCTCTGCACACTCCAAATCTGTTCTCCATCTGGGCTAAATTGGGAATTTAGGAGCAGCAGTCACTCTTCTCAAACCAGGCCTAGGAGGTGGGTCCTTCAGGGACAATGGCCAGTGGTATTGGTGTCCTTCCTAGCCCAGGGTTGCCGCCCCACATGGCCTGGCTTCCCATGATGGGCCTGGAGACATGGCTCTTCCAGCCCATTTCCAAGGTTTGTCCTGAGGGTAGGATATGAAGTGGCAGGGGAGTAGGAGGAGTCTGTGTCTTGGGAGCAGTCACCGGACCTGTTCACTGCCCTTGGTGTACTTGGTCAGGTTAAACGCCTCCCTGGCCCCGGGCTGTGGACAGATTGGCCATTTGAGGATGGACAATACTGAGGCAGCTTACCCTAGGCCCCGGGGCTCCAGGAATCCTGGGCAACTCTTCAAACTTAAGGGGCCTGTTCCAGGAACAGATATATGCCCACCTACCCCCAAACCCTCCTTCATCTCGGGGATCCTCCCAGGCCTGTGCACTTTGTCTCCTACTGGCCATGAGAGAGCCAGACACAGCTTCCTGGTCAAACTGCTTTCCCACTCCAGGCCTTTGCCTTGTGAGTGCCCCTTGCCTTGCCATCTGTCCCCAGGCCCCAGTACTGCATATCCAGTTCCTCCCCATTGCTGTGGTCTCCCTTCACTGAGTTTTCCCACCCTACCCTCTAGGAAGCCTTCTCTGAATATCAGGCACAAATCTCCCTGCTCACAGGGTCTTTCTGGTATCTCTGCCTCATATCATGGTGGTTTAAAAATCTTGCTCATCTTTCCAGCCCTCTGGAGCCTGACCATATTGTCTCTAGGTTGCTACAGATCTCAACTAAGGGGGAAGAGGCTGAAGGAAAGAAGGGCCATTTTTTAAGCTCTAGCTTTGTCCCAAGTAACAAGGATTAAGACAAGAAAAATAGTTCCAAATTTCACTCCATTGGCTCTGCCAAAACTTTGATTCCTAGAGGAAGTGCATTCCTTGGTTTTCCTTATGATCCCTGACCAAGTGTAGTTGGAAGTGAATCTGTACAACTATTCCCCTAAAGGCCACATATGCATGCATGAATGTCATACATGGGCTCCCAAGGTATATGTGCATAGGCACAA